TGAGCCACTGTGCCCAGCCAAATGAATTTTTTTTTTTTTTATACAGAATTTCGCTCTTGTTGCCCAGGCTAGGGTGCAAAGGTACAATCTCAGCCCACCACAACTTTTGCCCCCCGAGTTCAAACGATTCTCCTGCCTCAGCCTCACGAGTAGCTGGGATTACAGGTGTGCACCACCACGCCCAGCTAATTTTGTATTTTTAGTAGAGACAGGGTTTCTCTATGTTGGTCAGGCTGGTCTCGAACTCCTGACCTCAGGTGATTCGCCCCCTCAGCCTCCCAAAGTCCTGGGATTATAGGTGTAAGCCACTGCACCCAGCCAAAAGGCCAAACATACCTTTTTTTTTTTTTGAGACGGAGTTTCGCTCTTGTTACCCAGGCTGGAGTGCAATGGTGCGATCTCGGCTCACCGCAACCTCCGCCTCCTGGGTTCAAGCAATTCTCCTGCCTCAGCCTCCTGAGTAGCTGGGATTATAGGCACGCACCACCATGCCCAGCTAATTTTTTGTATTTTTAGTAGAGACAGGGTTTCACCATGTTGACCAGGATGGTCTCGATCTCTTGACCTTGTGATCCACCCGCCTCGGCCTCCCAAAGTGCTGGGATTACAGGCTTGAGCCACCGCGCCCCGGACTCAAACATACCTTTTTAAAAGTAACTTTATAGCCTGTTTGTTTGTGGAGCACAGGCCCGTAGGGCACTGTCAGACATCTTAAAGGGCCAGGTCCTTCTGTCCCAAAGATTCAGCCCCAGGCTGGCTCTCAAGCAGGGCTTTATGGCTAGACTGTCCTCCTAGGGAAGGAGCTTAGTGGTGGTGCCTCCTTTCCCCCTTCCTCTGTGGCCAGGTCTGGGCTGGGTGGGCATGTCTTCCTTGCTCTCAATTGGCATGGTGCCCAGAGCCAGGCTTGGTGCCTGACTGGGGAGGTGCAGCCCCAGGAAGGCTAGGACTGTGCCCGCCTCCCATCTCCCAGGAGTGCCTGGCTATAGCCTCACCCAGTGGATCTCAACAGGCACGTTCTCGGAGCAGTGGCGAGTGACTGCTGCCCCTTTGCCAGTCCTTGGGACTAGGGCTGCCCAACCTCCTCTTGGCTGAGAAACAGTCCCTGTGCCCATTGAGTCTGTGGGTTTCTAGACGGGTGGGATTTGTGGCCTCCTTTGTCTGCTTGGACAGCCCCTTCCCAGATACAGCCCCGCTCACACTCAGGAAGGAGCCTTTTTCTACTACCGACCCACTCATTTAGATACACTGTACAGTGTCACCCAGTGACCCAGGAGCAGCTTGGAGTCCCCTCTGGTCCCCTGGCATCCATTTTTTCTCACAGTCAGATAGGGATATGTGTGTACAGAGTTATTTCAGTCTCGTCCCCCTTCCCCTTCCCTCCACCATGACTCACATTTTCCTCTTGGGCTCCTGGGGCCAGGAAGGGAAGTTGCCTGGTTTGCCCCCTTCCCTTTTCCCCTACTGGGGGCTATTCTTAGAAACCCCCAAGGGAGATAGTGTACCCCCCTCTTCACCCCTGCTGCTGGGTGGGGATCTCAGCCTAGTTGATCCCGGGCCTGTGAGCTAGACTGGGAAGGGAAGCTGAGAGGCCATACCAGAGGGCTAGAGCTGGAAATGCTAGGGGTTAGCCATTTTACTCAATTTTACCCAAGAGGAAACTGAGGTCCCAAAGAATAAGTGACCTGCTCAATTTGCAGGACTAGTTCTAGTTCAAGGCAGAGCCCAGAACCTCTGGCTTCCAGGAAGTGCTACTGCTGTTTCCCTCCCTTCTTAAACCAGAGCCCTGCCCCATCCAACTCTGGGGTGAGGCCACAAGCGCCAGGTTAATTCCTGAGTTTCCAGAAACAGAGTCCAGTTTCCCTAAGACTTGCTCTCTAGCTAGTGCCACTGATAATGATTGGGGTCTGAACATTCCTAGGGTGGGGGCCCTAGGCGTAGGGCCTGGCAGGGCCAGGTGTTGGGAGGGAGTTATACCTTGAGGAGTGGCCAGGCATGGTGGACCCCATCCCCAGTTAGGGGATATATCCTTTGTATCAGTAGAATTGATGACTCTCAAGCCTGGGCTCTGAGGTTAAGCTTGAGAGCTTGAGTCAGTAGAGTGAGTAGGAAGCTTGGAAACCTGGAATGCACTACACAGTATGGAATGCACTAGATAGTAGGGTTAGGACACAGGATATGGAGTCCAATTATCTTGGGTTCAAGTCTTACATCAGCCACTACCAGCTGTGTGATCTTGGGCAAGTTACTTGGCTTCTCTGTGCCTCAGTCCCTTACCTTTAAAATGGGATATTGTTATCTATTTCATAGCGTTTTAAGAAATGTGTTAGGGGCTGGGCATTGTGGCTCATGCCTGTAATACTAGCATTTTCGGAGGCCCAGGCAGGAGGATCACTTGAGATCAGGAGTTTGAGACCACCCTGGCCAACATGGTGAAACCTCATCTCTACTAAAAAAATATACAAAAATTAGCCAGGCATGGTGGCAGCCAGCTGTAATCCCAGCTACTCAGGAGGCTGAGGCAGAGAATTGGTTGAATTAGGAGGCAGAGGTTGCAGCGAGCCAAGATTGGGCTACTGCACTCCAGTCTGGGTGACAGACAAAAAAAAGAAAACAGAAATGAGTTAGTCAGTGTATAGAAGGCACCCACAGAATCCTGCACATGGTAGGCAGCCAACAAACTAGCTACGGTAATAATAATGACAATGGCGATTGTTGTTACTAAGTTATGTCAAGCCAGGGAGGGGCTTTAGAGATCTTCTCATTCTTCCTCTTTGGGGTTATAGATGAGCAAACCTAAGAAAAAGGAGGTGACTTGTCCTGGGTCACTCACAGGAGGATGTAGAGCTCAGGTCTCCTGGGTGCTGTCCTTAAGGTTGAGCACCTGCAAAAGGGGCAGCGTTTGTCTTTTGCGTGGGGTGTTTGTGGAGCAGGAGATACAGGGTGCTGGGGCTGGGCCCCATGACTTACCTGGCCCTAGTTGGTGCTTCTGCTCCCAGAAGCTGTGAAAAAATCTCATTTCTAGTCATGAAGGATTCCGGCAGACAGCTAGGATCTGGGGTCCTGTGGGTAATGGGAGAGCTATATTGCAGGGGTGGCATAGCTTGGGAACAGACAGGGTGCAGGACCCTGGCTTCGTTCCTCAGAGAGCCTAGCAAGTTGAGCGAATGTGTGTGTGTGTTTAGGGGGTGGGCAGGGGAGATGGTCACCATCTGCCTCTGCCACCTCCTTCAGCTCAGTGCCAATGTGCTGCTGTTCCTCTGCACCAACGTCATTGGCATCTGCACACATTACCCAGCAGAGGTGTCTCAGCGCCAGGCCTTTCAGGAGACCCGCGGTTATATCCAGGCCCGACTCCACCTACAGCATGAGAATCGGCAGCAGGTGGGGCTGCTCTCCATGACCAGGGCCTGCCCCGACCTTACCCGCAAATAACTTGCAGATTGGATCTGCTGCCTTATGCAGCTCTGTGGAGCAGTGTGACAGTTCCCCTGGGTTGTGTGTCACAGAGGCCCTGTGATACTGGGCTTCTGTCCTGTCCAAGGGGAGGAGGGCGTAGACAGGAGCACATCTGGGGGCTCAGTGGAGGGTGGTCAGAGGGGCTCTGATGGGGGAATGTCAGGCCATACTCCAGAAGGGAAGCTCAGGTCTTCAGAGAAGTCTGGGAGGGCTCTGGCAATGTGGAGAGACCAGGAGGGATTGAAATGTGAGGCCAAGAGGATAGTGATGCCCTATTGGAACTACTGGGCTAGGAGCGGCTGCTGCTGTCGGTATTGCCCCAGCACGTTGCCATGGAGATGAAAGAAGACATCAACACAAAAAAGGAAGACATGATGTTCCACAAGATCTACATACAGAAGCATGACAACGTCAGGTAGGGTGAGGGTAGGAGGATGCCAGGTGGGGCAGAGGTCTGGATGTCTTTGAAGGCTACATGGTCTTTCATCCTCTGCTGTCATCTCCAGCATCCTGTTTGCAGACATTGAGGGCTTCACCAGCCTGGCATCCCAGTGCACCGCGCAGGAGCTGGTCATGACCCTGAATGAGCTCTTTGCCCGGTTTGACAAGCTGGCTGCGGTAAGGGTGCTGGGCCTTGGGGTTGGGCCTGGGTGTTGACCATGGTGAGAGCATAGCTTTGCTGGCAGAAACTGGGTATTTGGGGGCAGAGAGAGTATGCATCGAGGGTGGGGGGCCATGCAGGCTGGGTGGGCAACAGAGTAAAGGTTACCTTTCCCTCCAACTCTTTCCCATTCAGGAAAATCACTGCCTGAGGATTAAGATCTTGGGGGACTGTTACTACTGTGTGTCAGGGTTGCCAGAGGCCCGGGCAGACCATGCCCACTGCTGTGTGGAGATGGGGGTGGACATGATCGAGGCCATTTCGTAAGCAGTGCCCCATTCCCAGGCTTCCTGGAACTGTGCGTGCCCCAGACTGCTCCTACTTTTTGATAAGACCCTAGGAGATTTCCTCAGTTTTGGCTGTTTCTCTGTCTTTGAGATCTGTCTGTCACTGGGGAGGGGAATGAATCTTTCTCCAACCTGTGCAAAGACCCATGTGCACCCTTAGGCTCCAGCCAGCCGAGATGGGGTGGAGAGAGCCTGGGCAGTAGGGGAGTTGGGCTAGAAGGAATGCCATCTGTGCAGGCAGAGGGAATAACAGTGATTCCTCTTCTCCTAGCTCAGTTCCACAAGATGCTGCTGGGCCCCTGCTGGTGAACACAGTCCTAACATTTGTCCTTGAGCCCCATGCAGCCTTCTACTCATGTCCAACCAAGGCTGTGCTCCCGTCCCCTGCATCTGGGTCTGTCCTTGCCCGCTGGGCCCTGAGGGGAGTGAAGGGCCTGGGCTGTGCGCTGGGGGAGGGGGAGACTGCCAGGAGCTGACCAGGGGGTGCCTCCTTCCAGGCTGGTACGTGAGGTGACAGGTGTGAATGTGAACATGCGCGTGGGCATCCACAGCGGACGCGTGCACTGTGGCGTCCTTGGCCTGCGAAAATGGCAGTTCGATGTGTGGTCTAATGACGTGACCCTGGCCAACCACATGGAGGCAGGAGGCCGGGCTGGGTGAGTGGGGGTGGGTCCAGGTGGTAGTGGGTGGGAACATGGTGGGAGAACCAGGGGCTCACCCTCTTGGCCGCATACAGCCGCATCCACATCACTCGCGCAACGCTGCAGTACTTGAATGGGGACTACGAGGTGGAGCCAGGCCGTGGTGGCGAGCGCAACGCATACCTCAAGGAGCAGCACATTGAGACTTTCCTCATCCTGGGCGCCAGCCAGAAACGGGTCAGGGCCAGGGCAGGGCTGGGGGCAGGGATGCAGGAAGAGGGACAAATGGGGAGAGCAGGCCAAGGCCTCCTCTGGGCCCCTCTTCTGAGCCTGTACCCATGCTGCCTGCACAGAAAGAGGAGAAGGCCATGCTGGCCAAGCTGCAGCGGGCCCGGGCCAACTCCATGGAAGGGCTGATGCCGCGCTGGGTTCCCGATCGCGCCTTCTCCAGGACCAAGGACTCCAAGGCCTTCCGCCAGATGGTGAGGGACCCTCAGCGTCAGTCGTACGGCCTCATTTTCTTGGCTCCTTCAACACCCCATCCCTGTCCTTTCTTCTTGTGGCTGCCATCTCCATGTATGCTTTCTGGTATTGGGGCTGTGGGAGGATTTCATCCCAGGCGTCCCAGTGCTCCCAGAGGATATGGTGGGGACACCCTGAGAACAGTGTTGGGGTAAGGGAAGGAGCTGCAGAGGTAAAGGTTGTTGGCCCTTCACCTCACTCCACACTCTGTCCCTTTCTCCAGGGCATTGATGATTCCAGCAAAGACAAGTAAGTCAGGTTACTGAGGAGGGAGAAGGCACTTGTACCCTGGGATGGGGCTGAGGGGAGCTGAGATCCTCCTTTCCCCTGAACTTAGGTGTGTGGTGTGGGAGCAGGGGCCACACCCCTGGCTCTCCCTCCCTCCCCTGGGTGCTGCCCATACCTTCCCTTTCATTGTTTCTCACGTGGCCATACCCATGCACCTGGTGAAGCCATGTACCCTGTCCTCAGCCGGGGTGCCCAAGATGCCCTGAACCCTGAGGATGAGGTGGATGAGTTCCTGAGTCGTGCCATCGATGCCCGCAGCATTGATCAGCTGCGGAAGGACCACGTGCGGCGGTTTCTGCTTACCTTCCAGAGAGAGGATCTTGAGAAGAAGGTTTGGGAGATACAGGGCAGAAGGACAAGGGCTGGGGGAGGGGCGGATCGCAGCAGGGATGGCTGACCACAGGTGAGGGCACAGCCCTCACCTGTTTCTGGGGGATGGAGAAGGGACCACCACAGAACAGGGTGGGGATTTTGTCAGCTGAGTCAACTGCATCTCCTCCCTGTTGAGGCCCCTGGTAGTGCCCTGTCCTTGCTGTCACTGCCTTCCTTAGGGAGGGCCCAGCACCCAACTCAGCCTCCTCTCCCTCAGTACTCCCGGAAGGTGGATCCCCGCTTCGGAGCCTACGTTGCCTGTGCCCTGTTGGTCTTCTGCTTCATCTGCTTCATCCAGCTTCTCGTCTTCCCACAGTGAGAGCCCTGCCCTTCCTCTCTTAGCTTCTCTCTTCTCCACTACTTCCCAGAAGCTTCCTAAATACCCACATGAGCCCACAATCCCTGGATTCTGCATCCCTGCTTGTTCCGGAGGGTGGGATAAGAATGCCCAGATCTTCCAAAATTAAACGATTTTCCTGGCCCTGTTCTACCCCAGCTCCACCCTGATGCTTGGGATCTATGCCAGCATCTTCCTGCTGCTGCTGATCACCGTGCTGATTTGTGCCGTGTACTCCTGTGGTTCTGTACGTAGGGGGACTTCTGAGGCTGTTGGGAATGGCAAGCTAGACTCCAGACAGGGAGGAGGTCTGGGGAGAGGGAGGAGAAGGCCATGCTTCTTCCCCTGGGCCCCATCCCTGGTTGGCCTTCCTCCTTGGCTGATACAACCTTCAACTCTTGGTCTCTTGATGCCTCTAGCTGTTCCCTAAGGCCCTGCAACGTCTGTCCCGCAGCATCGTCCGCTCGCGGGCACACAGCACTGCAGTTGGCATCTTTTCCGTCCTGCTTGTGTTTACCTCTGCCATTGCCAACATGGTAAGGGTCCAGTGGGAATTCTCTCACCTCTGCTCTGTGTCAAGCACTGCCCTGGACACTGGGGGTGCAGAAGGAAATAGGACATGTTTTCTGCCCTCAGGGAGCCCCCTCCCAGAATAGGGGAAGGTGAACTCCAGTTCTTCCTCCTTGTTCTCCCAACCTCTTGTCATCCCTGAGGGAGAATGAAGGCCCATGGGTATAAGGTACCTGGGCATAGCCCTAGCAACCCTTCACCTCCTTGGCTACCCTGACATACCCCTCCACTTTTGCAGTTCACCTGTAACCACACCCCAATACGGACCTGTGCAGCCCAGATGCTGAATTTAACACCTGCTGACATCACTGCCTGCCACCTGCAGCAGCTCAATTACTCTCTGGGCCTGGATGTGCCCCTGTGTGAGGACACCGCACCCACCTGCAGCTTCCCTGAGGTGTTCAAGCATTGCTCAGGTGGTGGGGAGGGGCTGTCCTGGCACAGACATTGGCCCCTCTGTGCCAGGCTTGGTGATGGGCATGGGGACCCAGGAACTCACCAGAGTCTTTCACACTAGGAGCAACCAGGGGCCCTGGTGTGGTGTAGGGGCTGGACATGGAAGGTGGAGGATATGGGGGTTTGAGGGGTGTGGAGGGAAGGTTAGGTCAGGCAGGAGAGTGCAGGACTCTCCCTGCTCAGGGTGCCATGGCCTCTGCCTTCACCCAATGCTGCCTCTGCCATCCCCCCAGTACTTCATCGGGAACATGCTGCTGAGTCTCTTGGCCAGCTCTGTCTTCCTGCACATCAGCAGCATCGGGAAGTTGGCCATGATCTTTGTCTTGGGGCTCATCTATTTGGTGCTGCTTCTGCTGGGTCCCCCAGCCACCATCTTTGACAACTATGACCTACTGCTTGGCGTCCATGGCTTGTGAGTTTATTCTCAGGTCCTTTAATACCCCAGGAACTTCCCTGACCTTGCTGCGTCACTGTGAGCCTCTCTGGTGCCCAGGCCCCTTGTGCCCTTAGAATGCCTCAACTCCCCTGTGGAGGAAAGGGAGGAGATGGAGGAGCTCCCAGCATGTGACCCCGAATAGTTACACCAAGGAACCCCAGTCTTGGGAAATCAGCTGCTTGGTGGCAGGGCTCTGGCTAGGAACCACAGCTTCTGATCCTGCTTAGGGCTTTGCCTGGGATACCACACTAGCTTTTCCTCTGCAAAACCCCCTTCCTTTGATATGCCACTGCAGCTTCTTGTAGTAGAAAATGCCTCTGGAGTCTGCTGGGTTTGAATCCCTGCTCTGCTGCTCATTAGCTATGTGAGCTTAGACAGGTGAGTTAGCTTCTCTGAGCCTCAATTTCCTCATCTGCAAAATGGCAATGCCACCTAAATCACAGGGTAGTTGTAAAGATTATAGTAACTAACATTTATGGAAGTCTCACTATATGGCAGGCACTGTGCCAAGCCTTTTACATGCATTATTTAGATCGGATGCCTGTTGTACAGATGAGGAAGGAGGCTTAGACAGCTAAGCAACTTATCTCAGGTTGTATAGCTGGTAAGTAGAGGAGTCTCTAAGAGCAGAGGTGTTTTTTTTTTTTTTTGAGACGGAGTCTTGCTCTGTTGCCCAGGCTGGAGTGCAATGGCGCAATCTCAACTCACTGCAGTGGTGCAAACCCGCATCCTGGGTTCAAGCAATTCTCTTGCCTCGGCCTCCCAAGGAGCTGGGATTACAAGCACCCACCACCACACCCAGCTAATTTTTGTATTTTTAGTAGAGATGGGGTTTCACCATGTTGGCCAGACTGGTCTTAAACTCCTGACCTCAGGTGATCCACCTGCCTCGGCCTCCCAAATTGCTGGGATTACAGGTGTGAGCCACTGTACCCGGCCAAGAGTAGAGGTTTTCTTAACCTCTACTCTTTATGAGTTAATTAATTAAGTAAAGCCTTGGCCCAATGCCTGACTTACAGTATGTGCTCAGGAAATGCAGTCTCTGTCTCCCCTTCCATGTGCCCACCTAGCAACCCAGGAAGCACTAATTACTTTGTCTCTTCTATCTTCTTGCCAGGGCTTCTTCCAATGAGACCTTTGATGGGCTGGACTGGTAAGTGAGGGCTCTGAGGCAGCAAAGGGTAGGGCCCTAGATGCCTCCCTTGGACACCAAGCATGTCTCTGCTTACCCTTAGTCCAGCTGCAGGGAGGGTGGCCCTCAAATATATGACCCCTGTGATTCTGCTGGTGTTTGCGCTGGCGCTGTATCTGCATGCTCAGCAGGTGGAGTCGACTGCTCGCCTGGACTTCCTCTGGAAACTGCAGGTGACCGGGTGGGCCTTTGGGGGAAGGGGAGGAACCTAGGGGCAGAGCCTGGGCCAGGCCAAAAATGCATCTCCTGCTAGCTGGCTAAGGCCCACGGCGCCCCTAGGCCCCCCTGGTTCCATGCCTTCTCTGTGCCCATCCCTTACTCCTCGCCCCGTTCTGTACCTGCCCCCTTCATCCCTTTGCCTGTTCTTTAGGCCTCATCTGTCCGTGCCTTTCCTCCTCTGCGTGATTCCCTCTGATGCCCACTTCCAAGCCTTGGCCACCACACCCACCCCTTGTGAATGTTGGGCAATGGGTGATGGGTGTGGTGTCTGTAGGCAACAGGAGAGAAGGAGGAGATGGAGGAGCTCCAGGCATACAACCGGAGGCTGCTGCACAACATTCTGCCCAAGGACGTGGCCGCCCACTTCCTGGCCCGGGAGCGTCGCAATGATGAACTCTACTATCAGTCGTGTGAGTGTGTGGCTGTTATGTTTGCCTCCATTGCCAACTTCTCTGAGTTCTATGTGGAGCTGGAGGCAAACAATGAGGGTGTCGAGTGCCTGCGGCTGCTCAACGAGATCATCGCTGACTTTGATGAGGTACTTGTCCAGTTGGCTGGTGCTGGCAGAGAATTGCGGGACTTGGAGACCAGGGTAGTAGAGAGAATTTTGGATGAAAAGGCCAGGATTGGAAGGGGCGAATGGCACTGGGAAGAGAAAGAGAGATTTGATGGGATTCAGAGGCATCAGGGCTAGGGGTAAGGGTAGGCACAGTGGAGGCAGAGGCAAGAACCCATGAAGGTGTCAGAGGCAGCAGGGGGATCAGCCCTAGTGGGGCAGTGTCATCCTTGTTGGGGAGCGGGGGAAGGACTTGATCTGTAGGGGGATAGGATAGGTACCAGGTGGGTGTCATTGAAGAAGAAGGCAGTAGTCTGTGGACAGAACTTCATGAGATAAACCAAGCAAGATGGTCCTCTGAAAACAGAAAATGGAAGCAAAATGTGAGGTAGTATCCTGAAAACCCAGATCAGGAAATGGCTGTTCCACTATTCTGGAGGGAAGTCACTTGCTCACCTTGGGACTCAGTATCCCAAAAGGACTGGAGAAATTGCTTAATATCCCACCTGTGGGTCTGTGTTCTGTGAGTGAGCTACTGGAGTGACCTTCTGAAGCTGTATGCCCAAGTCCTGCCTGGACTCCTAGGGTGCCTGTTTTTCCCGGCTCCTCAGTCCTACACTGATAGCAGCAGCTGGAAGGGGGCTCTTGAGACAGGGAAATGGGGAAAGGAGCCAAGGCGGGGCAAGAAATGAGTGTTGGGGCAGGGCTGGGTTTAGGGTCTTTGCCTTGACAGCCAGGTCCCCTTGTGTTGTTCAGATCATCAGCGAGGAGCAGTTCCGGCAGCTGGAAAAGATCAAGACAATTGGTAGCACCTACATGGCTGCCTCAGGGCTGAATGCCAGCACCTACGATCAGGTGGGCCGCTCCCACATCACTGCCCTGGCTGACTACGCCATGCGGCTCATGGAGCAGATGAAGCACATCAATGAGCACTCCTTCAACAATTTCCAGATGAAGATTGGTGAGAGGACCTGGTTGCTTGGCAGGGTTTCCCAGGACTATTTCTGGGTGAAGCTGGGATTATAGGCTGGGGATGGGATCACAGATTTCCCATCAGGGTTCCTGTGGGGTTTTCTTCCCTCTGACCTTCTATATTAAGTCTGATATTAAGAACAGAGATCATGGCCGGGTGCGGTGGCTCACGCCTGTAATCCTAGCACTTTGGGAGGCCAAGGCAGGTGGATTACCTGAGGTCAGGAGTTTGGGACCAGTCTGACCAATATGGTGAAACCCTGTCTGAAAAAAAAAAAAAACTTTAAAAATATAAAATAAAAGAACAGAGACCATGCTGGGCGCGGTGGCTCCCACCTGTAATCCCAGCACTTTGGGAGGCCGAGGTGGGCAGATCATGAGGTCAAGAGATAGAGACTATCCTGGCCAATATGGTAAATACAAAAATGACTGCGTGTGGTGGCACACACCTATAGTCTCAGCTGCTCGGGAGGCTGAGTCAGGAGAACTGCTTGAACCCAGGAGGCGGAGGTTGCACTGAGCCGAGATCGCGCCACTGCACTCCAGCCTGGTGACAGAACAAAACTGTCTCAAAAAAAAAAAAAGAGAACAGAGATTACTCGGCATTATCCTAGAAATTTTTGAGCATATTTTAATCCTGATATTATTATCCCCTTTCATTGGATAGAAACTGACTCTCAGAGAGATTACATAACTTGCCCAAGGTCAAACAACTAGTAAGTGGCAGAGCTGGGATCCAAAATAAGAATTATCTAAACTTGAGTACCTTTGTCCTTATATGTGGCCAGTCGGATAAGAAGTACTTCCTGTCAAATGAACTGGTGGATGGGAATGGTTAATAGCATAGGTTCTAGAGTCAGACTATCTGGTTTGAATTCTGGCTGCTGCATTTACTGGCTTATTTGGGAAGTCATCTAACTTCTCTAAGCTTCAGTTACCTTATCTATAAAAT